ACGGTTCCGAGTGCCCTCCGAGCTCTCCGAGGATCCCCCCAAGAGGCCCAAACCTGTCAAACACCAACAGAAAATGCCTTCTTGCCTTTTCGCTTCCGATGGGCTCTTGAGGCCTCAAGTTGGCCCCAAGAGGGCCCCAAAACGGCTCCAAGAGCGCCCAGGAGCGTTCCAAGAGCGCCGCAAGAGGGCCCCAAGACGCTCTTTTTGAGCCTCCGACGGGCGGGGGCCTGAATTGCAGCCGCCGACCTGTTTTTGAACAGTGGGGCCCAAGATTGCCCCAAGAGGCGCTCCCAGAGCTCCTCTAAGAGCACCAAGAGGGCTCCCTGGATCCCTCCAAAGAACCTCAAGAGGGCCCCCAGAGGACCCCACGAGGACCCCAAGATGGCGCCAAGAAGGCCTCACGAGTCCCCGAAGAACCCTTCACCACAACATAGCCCCAAAGCCCAACTTGTCATTCTCCTTATCATGGTCCGCTCCTTCCTGCTCTCCTCCTCCTCCTCCTCCTCCTCTTCAATCTCTTCGTGCCGCATTCCTGCTCCTCCTCCTCCTCCTCCTCCCCATCCTCCCCCGTTCTCCTCCTCTTCCCCATCCGGCAGCTTGGCCAAGCTGTGGCCCAACGATTGGCCACAGAGGCGCTTTCCAAAAAGGCAAGGGAAGAAAATGGAACACGCAGCCGATGCCAAGAGACACCCGAAACGAAGTACGCTTCACAACGCGCGCTGCCTGCCGCGTCGCATGCGGGGCGGATGCTTTCCAGCAGCTGCGTCTCATCGAAAGATTTCGGGGGCGCCCAAATCATCCCGAACTCTCGCCGGAAGCCCGAGTTACGCACGGCCCGAAAACCACTGGGAAGATCGAGGTTCGAGGATCGAGGTTGTTGAACGCGCTCGGCAACTATTGCGAACAACTTAGAAAAAAAACAAAGACAATAAAAACAACCGCGCTCCATGCGAGGAAAAGCGGAACGCAAGAAAAACGCAAGTGGAACACGGCCACGCCTCATCATCCTGCCCCTCCTGCCGCTCTCAAGTGTTTCTTTTAGAATATGGTGAACCATTCGCGCGTTTCGAACTGGTCCTCCTTCTCGCGCTGCCCACAAAAGTTTCGGGGGCGCCCAATATCATCCCAAATTTCCGCTGGAGGCCCGAGTTGCGCACGGTCCGAAAACCACTTGGAAGATCGAGGTTCGAGAATCGAGATTTGTGAACACGGTCGGCAACTATTGCGAAACATGTACAAAAAAGCGAAGACAAGAACAACAAGCGTGCTCCATGCGAGGACAAGCGAAACGCAGGAAAAACACATGTGGAACACGGCCACGCCTCATCTTCCTGCCCCTCCTGCCGCTCCTTTGTTCTTCTTTTAGAATGTGTTGAACCATTCGCGCGACTCGAACTTGTCCTGCTTCTCGCGCTGCGCGCTGTTTAAAATGCGGTTCCTTTCCAAAACGTTTCTCATTACACGTTCGCTCTTATCGCGCAAGTCCCGCTTTGCTGCCTTTCGTTATTATCGCAAGTTTCAAACGCACGTTTCCCGTTTTATCAGGGTTCGTCCTTCTTGTTGTTCGCACCTATTAGCGTTTCTCAACTTGTTGCACTATGTTGCTTCGTACTTCTCGCACCTTTCGTCCTTCTCACACTTGTTTGTATATTTTCGCACTTTTCTGGTTTTCGACTTTTCTACTTTTCTAATTTTCGCACGTTCGCACTTTTCGCGCTGATCTACTTTTCACACTTTTCTACGTTTCGCGCTTTTCGGAATTTTCCCACTTTTCGCACTTTTCTACTGTTCTACTTTTCGCACTTTTCTACTCTTCTACTCTTCTACTTTTCGCACTTTTGTTTTTTTCACACGTTTCGACACTTTTCGCACTTTTCTACTTTTCTACTTTTCGCACTTTTCGCATTTTTCGCACTTTTCGCACTTTTCGCACTTTTCGCATGCGCCACCGGATGTTCGAGACGCTTAGATAGCCGGCTTAGTCCTCCCTCCCTCCCTCCCTCGCTCCCTCCATCCCTCCCTCGCTCCCTCCCTCCCTCCCTCCCTCCCTCCCTCCCTCCCCCCCTCCCTCCCTCACTCCCTCCCTCGCTCCCTCCCTCGCTCCATCCCTCCCTCCCCCCTCCCTCCCCCCTCCCTCCCTCCCTCCCTCCCTCCCCCCTCCCTCCTCCTCCCTCCTCCTCCTCCTCCTCCTCCTCCCTCCTCCTCCTCCTCCTCCTCCTCCTCCTCCTCCTCCTCCTCCTCCTCCTCCTCGCCAGGTGGGGCCCGATGAAGCCCG